ACAGAGACGATACCCAATCGCACACTTGCCGAAACGGCCAGTACGCCATTGGCTTGGCCTTCTGGTGTTCTCTGTCACCAGTATCTGCATCGTCCTCCTGCAAATGGGTGCTGCGGTGTCTTCTACCCTAAATTATAATCTCCCTTGGATAGCACACACTGGATTTCGATGGATGTTCATCCCCATTTTCAGCATTGGACTTATCATCCAGTGGTGTGCAGTACTTATTGAATGCGCTATCGTTTTTGCAGAAATTGGGGTTGTTACCTGGTGGCTAGGATGGGCGGTCAAGATCTTTCATTGATCATTTATATATATTTTCCTCAACTTCCGGATTTCATGGCGAAACATACCTGTATCATTATTACCATAATCTACTTCGAGTACATGTGCACCGTACATATCATCTTAATATTTTACCCTTGGGGCTGGTCTGTCTTATACCTAAGATTCTGGGTTTGGCTTGGAGTGGATGGTAGACATGCTCCATGCGATGGCATGTGAGGTCCAGATAAAGAGCCGCTAGTTGGACTAGGCTGAGTGACTGACGGAATATACATGGGATTTGAGGTCGGTGAGCGAACGGATTGACGGGCGGGAGCTGCAGGAACTTGATCTACAGCCTTACTGGTCTCGATACAAATACGACAGAATCCTGCGCAGCAGTAGTCAGGCGTGGAGAACAGCGTATGGGGCTGGTACTTACGGCCACCCATCATGAGAGGAACATCCCTCTGCCCGCACGCACGACATGCAATGACAACGGGCGTCTGAGTAGGGGCTTTAGACTGTTTCCTGGGCCTCGCAGGCGATACCGATGTCTGTTCGTTAGGCTTTTGATCTGCAGCAAGAGTGATGGGAATATCTGGTGTGGAAGGAGTAGCCGTAGAAGAAACAGAAAGGGCGGTTGCAGACGGGTGTACTGGCTTGGCAGCCACCTTTTTAACTTTCGATGTAGATTGTTTTCGCGACGTGTTTCTTCGCCGAATTCTTCCACCGTCAGCATGAGCGGGTTTTATGGATTTCATCGTGTAAGGATGGGCGGCCTTATCAACCCCATCAGCGCACCGCCAATTTGATGCACGTGAGAACGAAAGCTCACAGTTCGTATTCGAGTCAATAGCTCCCCCTCTGGGAGGTGGTGAGGTAAATAAACTCGTTTACGGATTTCCTACTTAGCTATAAATTGGATGAAGAAGGGATCGAAGCGAAAAGTGCTTGCCGGCGGTTTAAGCTTTCCTTGGTTTTCAGCGATATTTTGTTCATCATTACACCATCTCGCGAACAAGTCAATGACCGGTTGTATCAGGCCAGTCCAGTGTAACTTTACGACTGGCGAAGCAGTATCAGGGCCAGAGGTACCTGGTGGAAGTATTTCCGAGGGTTCTGGACCCCCTATATTGATAAGGGGGGAAACAGTGAGGATTGCATCGAGTTTTGTCGATGAAGTACTGGAGGGCGTGGTCTCTAGTAGAGCATAGCCGCGAGGTATAATCCATTTATCAGGTAGCTTTTCCTGAAATTCAATGACCACGTCGAATGGCTTGGTACGAAGGGGGGCAACTGAAGGGGGGCTTGATAGGAAAGAGGCAGATGGTTCATGCGTTGACGATTGGTGAGGAGGCTGGGGAAGGACACGCGGGTCCGGAGGTAGATTACCCATGGAATGCACAAGGGCAGCCAGAGTAGCCACTTGATCTTCAGTTGCTCGACCTGAACCAACCAAGTGGAAGAGGTTGCGGAGTATAGGATTTGTGGCCAAGGCAGCGTTGACCTTTGAGCTGAGCTCGGGGGTTACAGATATATTGGGTGCAAGCGATTCATGTGAAGAGTATTGAGAGTTGTGAGCACTCTGATCTGCGGGCCCAGGCTGCTGAATGGGAGAGATGGATGCTGCTGAAGGGATGGATTGTGCCGCAGGTGGGGTGGGTTCTGCATGTGGTAGATAAGATACCTCGTAGACAGCAGTATTTTGAAATATATGAGGTCCTATAGTGAGCTCAAATTTGCCGAGACACTTGGTATGATGCGGAGGAGGTGTAACTTCGGGTGGCTTGCCCCCGCGTCCTCTCACAGAGAACTTTGGAAAAGTGGACGTGAGCCATTTATCTCGCGCTGTTATACACATTTGTCAATCGAGATGATCACAAGAACATGTACTGATGCTTTACACTGTCTCAGAGACTGGAAAATAACGAGGCTAACGGCTGGATAAGTAATTTAACCTCGTGGACTCAGGCTGGGAAACGTACCTATCCGCCACGGAGCGCATTTCTGCCCCTTCGGAGTTGATTGTCTCGTCCTCATTCTCCCACCCTGGATGAAAACCTACAGGTAGACTGACGGTACGAGACATACCAATGTGGGATTCACGTTCGTTAAGCGCTCGCCCCCGAAGACGTTGGATAAAGGCGCTTATGTAAAGCCCAAACGCCTCAGGGGACACTCATTCTGCTTTCTTCACCCCAGCAACATACGACGTTTCGTATCTGAAATGAGTACACGCGTTCGTGAGTTGATTTACAGTTATATCATGGTGCTTTATTAACACTAATGTTATCAGAGAAGGGCGGTCCTGTTTTCAAGCCCATCGCGAAGCCAAGACCTCGACACACCAGCGAGACACGACAAACATCGCTCACACCCGACCCTCGTTTGCTCCCAAGTTCCAATGGTACCCAGCACATGCATCATGGGAGCCCCCTCACAACCTCGGAAGCCGCCTCTTCTATGCCTCCGCCATCGACTATCCCTCATGCGCCGGGTCCTGGGGCACACACCGAGGGTACTACTCGTCCCTCCAACAATATCCTGGGACCAACGCTGGTGAATTCACGGCAGGATACAAATGGTGCATTTGCAATTACCACCCCTTCAAGAGATTATATGCGGCATCACACAGGCAATACGGTGCGTCCTTTTGTGCCCGTGCAAAACGTGCAGCCACCTGCAGTTCCACCCGCCGTCGCAATCAATACCCAAACCACATCAGAGACTGAGAGGATATCCACTGCTCTTTATCCTCAGCCTGTCCATACTGGCGTACCCATACCAATCGCCACCCCCAACCGCTCGGACTCTACGGACGTCGCACCTTTGCCGTCTGCAACAGATTCTGCTGCTGGCTATTCTACAGCACTGATTTCACACCCCATGAACGATTCCCAGATTGATCCTGCTCTGCTGGAGGCTGTAGTCACTGCATTGCAGCACGCAGACCAGGCCCAGCAAGTACTGGTAGAGTCGTCGCAGGGTGATGGGCAAATGCTAGCTCCGAACGCTGTGAACGTACCACAACCCAGGCGCGAAAGTGCCGGCGGTGTCGAAGCAAACCGGGGGCAGACTACGTCCGTCTCTTTGAAACCTAAGCGCGGACGTCCAAGAAGGTCTTTACCTACGAACGACGAAATCTCTAGTATCGACGGAGAAAACCAAATCAGCGAAGGGAGGCGTACTCGACGGAAAATTCGACGGTCTGCTGAAACACCGGACGGCGATGATTTAGACTCCTTTAGGAAGAGGCCACGGAAGCAACGATCTCGGGCCCCTTCACTTCCTCCTTATGACCCTGCAGCTGATCCTGGAGAAGAAATAGACCCCACTGCTGTAACCATGGCTGAGCTCTGCGACGACACTGGTCGAGGGCGTGTGAGTAGCAAGGCGATGCAGATCATGAGCAATCATGCTGCATGGCGGGCTGCCAATAAAGGGAAGCGAGAACGCATGAGAGCAAACATGGAGGCAAAAAAGTATGGCAGGACCCTGGACGAAGACGGGAACGGGACTTTGAATGTCGGGCCTCCAGCTCCAGTCGCCGCCGAGCAACATGGTAACGGTACGACAGTTGGCCAGTCTGCGGCGGGGCCGTCTTCCAGAGGGCAGTCTCCTGATGCGGATGGTCAGAAGGGCGATGATTATGACTACACGCAAGCCCTAGCTACCAGCCGCTACAATGTTCAAGTAAGGGTCGGACCGAACGGCGAGACGATCATCGACGAAACCTCGTTGTTTGTCGACAGACAGGAAGAGGATGATACTGCTGGATATACGCACATCGAGGAGTCTGATACGACCAAGTTTGTCAATTCGGCCAGTTATAGTAAGAAATTGCGGGGCTCGCGGTGGACCGCCGAAGAAACTGATCTTTTCTATAACGTGGGTACCACTCACCGTTTGCTACGCATCATGGGCTCAAATATCTCTCAGGCATTGTCTCAATTCGGAGAAAACTATGAGCTCATCTCATACGTCCTTCCTGGGCGTGACCGCAAGGCTTGTAAGAACAAGTTCAAGGCAGAAGACAAAAGGGACCCCGCTCGGATCACATATTGTCTAAAGAACCGCATACCATATGGTACGCAGCTCCTTTTCATACACAATTGTTTAATATGAAATGAGACCTGGTACACAGATATGGCCACCCTCACACGTTTGACTGGGAAAGACTTTTCCGGACCGACGCCAGAGATCAGGGCACCAACGCCCTTGAGGATGCCCACAGAGGCTAACGAGGTACCTGCGGTTGACACAGAAACCGCCATAAAGACCAGGAAACAAAGCAAGACACCACGTCCAGACAGAGGGGAAGAGGAAATCATCGGAAGCATCGAAGAACTAGATGCTAGCTGATGAGTACGGGGAAGTATCTTTCTTGAACACGTGAACTAGGTGAGTGATCATTCGTGAACAGGTTTTCCCTCTGTCTATCGATAAACTATTCCTGTTGTAGTAATCCCAGCCGTTTATACGTGGATGTCCCTGTATGCCGATGAAATAATTTGGATTCGCACAGTCAACCTATGCGAAAGTCATCACAAAGGCTTTCCATCGCAAACAAACGGTCCATCGGTACTCTGCCTTGATACTATTCGGTCTGACTATTCTGACCCTCCTGACTGACTGAGCGGAGCACCCTAATGATAGTAGGCTGCGCTTTTGTGTTTTCGCGTCTCGGCCGTGGATATATAAACATGATAGGTTATGAAAGTTATATTGTATCCGCCGAGATAGCTCAGTTGGGAGAGCAGCAGACTGAAGCAATCCCGTACAATTTGTCATGGGCGCTAATTCTGAAGGTCGGGTGTTCGAGCCACCCTCTTGGCATCTCTTTTTGTCATTGAACGTATGAAGTTCAGTTCCTCCAATGCATGATTAAGGCTTTAACCCTTTACTTTACCTTTACACTGATGCCGTAAACAAAGAGAAAGGGTTTTAAATAGTTTATAAAGAGTCAAGAGTAAGTTTACAATTAATACATCTCTTTTTTTGTTCTGGGTGGTGAGTAGTTTGCAGCGAGTTTTCTAGTTGCACTTATAGCGTTATTTTCAAATTTTGCGCACTGATTTCCAAAGATCCCCTAAGTTGTATGCTTAGGACTCTGTGAGTGGCACTAGCTCTCTCTCAGAGGGCCTCAGGAATCTTCACAAATACTGTGTGGCGTTGAAGAGGGCAATTGATGGCAATGATTTAGCCAGCCCACGCGTTTGCTTGGTACATTGCGTGTTTCAAGAGGATGCTGTGATTGACCATGAAACAAAAAAAAATGCAGATCCAGCGGACTTGGACCATGCTTTGGCTGCTGCCGGGGATGCCCAAGACAAATGGCAGGTATACCAGTACCTATATTTGCTCATTTTAAGGCGGTACCATTGGATGATCACCAACGTGAGGGACCACGCTGCCCTCCAGACCAGATTGAATGCTTGTGATGCACCCATTATCATAGATTTGCTCCAGGCACGTGCAGATGAAATGCAAAAGCCATCCGACATTGTTCAGAAAATGGTGCAGATAAATGGCAAAATGACAAGTCTCCCGACGGTGGAGGTTCCAACGGACGCCGTGATGACGGAGTTTGAGGAGTTTGAGCAGGAAAATGTGCTTGGTATGGTCTGCAAGCCATTGGGCGGTCCAGGATGTGTTCCGCAGAGCAGGATGTTGACTGCGAGGCTTGAGATTCTGCAGTAAGTGGTCACGTCACAAGCAATCACTGTTTTAATGTTTTTCAGAATGTTGTGCGAGTTTGAACATGTTCACAAAGGATTTTATTGTACCATACACAGGGCACATATGGCCAAGATCTCTCTGCCAATACAAAGACCATATATATTAGATGTATTCCCTGTTATTCCACAATTTATAAGCTAGAAATGGCCCTGCTATAAATATATTTATCGGAAATATAGTATATTAAAATAAGCAATTATAGGCTGGCATGCTGTCCCCTGCCCATATATTGTGTATCAAATGTTACTACACATATAGGGCTATCTGTGTGTTACTCTTTGAAAGGTTTCATGCAGGTATAAGTGCCTGCCTGGATGGGGTATTTTCTGTATATTAAATGTACAGTATTTCATCCATTAAACAACAGGTCTAGCTCTAATAATTTTATATTTATAATTATAATACTAATATCTATTTACTGTATTTATTGCATATTTATACGACCCAGGGAATACCCCAAGACCCAGAATTTATGCTGCCCAAGCCAGAGCAATTGGGATGCCCAAATGCGGAAATAGGCGCCAGAGTTTGGTAGCCATGAGGCATGCAGCCATATACCATAATAGGCCATGAGAGGGAAAGGGCGGGATTTTGATGGGAACTGTCAAACGCTAAAATAAGCGCTGGGCGCGAGAAACAGCGGAATGTACTACACTGGATATCTGTGGGGATTTTTAGCTACAATAAAACTTGAAAATAAGTTGAAAAGAGTATAAACTTTATTCACAATTTTCAATATAAAATTTTGGTAAAAATTCACAAGAACTTTCTAGTTTTATCTGATGATATTTTGTGATAAATCTAAGATATTCTTGACTCAAAATATGCTTTAAATTTTGTCTTAGCTTTTCTACCCTAAAATCTTATTACAACTTTAGCAAAATCTATCAAATTAATGTTTTGATCAGATTTCCTTCAGTTTTTACAAACATTTTGCACAAGAAAAGTATAGACAAAATTTAAAGCATATTTTGAGTCAAAAATATCTTAGATTTGTCACAAGATATCATCAGATGAAATCAGAAAGTTTTTCTGAATTTTTACCAGAATTTTATATTGAAAATTATGAATAAAGTTTATACTCTTTTCAACTTATTTTTGAGTTTTATTCTAGCCAAAAATCCCCACGGATATCCAGTGCTAATATATACAATATATAGACATTCCAAATGTCTGACTATACAGGAAAGTTATTCCCAGGCATTTAATGCAATACACCAGCCTGGCCATCCAGCCATTGGAGCTCTCAAAAGCAGTGCTTTTGGCCCTTGAATAATGCATAACATATGCTGGCTGTTGCCAGGTGGTAATACATAAAAATTGGTCCATGGGGTGGAAGAGGCACTTCAAGTACGACCACAAGGACATCGCGCTTAACGAATGCAAGCTTGATTTTGCGGATCTCCGGGCATACAGTAAGCAGTCTGGTGCATCTGCAGATTTCACAACCAAGGCACCTGCATTGGGCTCATCAAGAGATTACGACAAGCTTGATAGTCTGTGGGAAAAGTTCCAGAGCCTGGCAGAGGAGGCAATTATGGATGAGGTGGATACAGAGGATATCATAGCGGATGAGATGATTGCGGACGAGGCTGCAGTTGCGGATGCTAGGCCCGCTCGTTATATTCCTCTTGCAGCTCTCATGACACCCTTCTTTGCATGTTTTTGAGCTCAGGTTATTTATTAGAGTACATGAAATTATTTTGACATGCATGATTACTGGGAAGACAAATTTTTGAGCATCTGAATGAACTGAGGTGCTTGGATGGCGAGAACGGGATCCAGTCTTGCAATGTCAAGCAAGTCAGGGGGTGGAGGAACATGGTAGCTGTCCCATGGGTTTTCTGTGGTGGTGTCGGCATTGGGGGTATTTCCAGCGGTCCACTGGACGGAAGCTTGGGCGATAAGAAAGTTGATGTTGGTGCGAGCAGTCCACTGGCTGAGCTGAAAATTTGCAGTTTGAATGGCAAGTAGGCATTGGTTATAGACAAGGGCGGATGTGGCGTGGTCCTTGTGCAAAGGCTGGTGTACTGCGTGAGTCAAAGACACATGTTATGTCTGTCATACTTGCCTCTCGAAGGACAACCGCCAAGGGCTGCATCATAAGTTAAATGTAGATGCATACGGGTGGTCAAACATACCTTGTCAGTTGTCTTTGATGTCTTTGATTTTTTTGCCTTGGATCCGCCTGCGCTGTCGCTCGCGGTGCGTTTTGCCGTACTCTTGGTTGCGGGTGCAGGGGTGATCTTTTTAGATTTTGCGGTTCTGAGTGTGCTGTCGTGGGTCGGTGCGAGAGATCTGTGCAAGGATGTGAGTACCATGGCATTATTTTGCTCACACTTATTACCGGGGTTGAAAGAATGACTGCCTGGATTGCAGGCCGTACTCAAAAGTTTATAGCATATATTCAGTTGAGATAAAAGGACAAGGGACTGGACGTACATTGCTTTTCCCTCGACCGTCTTTGGGTTCTTGAGTGCCGCTGCAACTGACTGCGCGGACGTCGGGGCTTGTTGCATTAGAAATGCACTGGATATCTGTGTGGATTTTTAGCTACAATAAAACTTGAAAATAAGTTGAAAAGAGTATAAACTTTATTCACAATTTTCAATATAAAATTTTGGTAAAAATTCACAAGAACTTTCTAGTTTTATCTGATGATATTTTGTGATAAATCTAAGATATTTTTGACTCAAAATATGCTTTAAATTTTGTCTTAGCTTGTCTACCCTAAAATCTTATTACAACTTTAGCAAAAAATCTATCAAATTAATGTTTTGATCAGATTTCCTTCAGTTTTTACAAACATCTTGCACAAGAAAAGTATAGACAAAATTTAAAGCATATTTTGAGT